TCTCTGTCTACCTCTCTCCTACCTGTATATCATGGTAGTGCTCTCCGTCTACCTATCTCCTACCTGTATATCATAGTAGTGCTCTCCGTCTACCTCTCTCCTACCTGTATATCATGGTAGTGCTCTCCTCCGTCTACCTCTCTCCTACCTGTATATCATGGTAGTGCTCTCTGTCTACCTCTCTCCTACCTGTATATCATGGTAATGCTCTCCGTCTACCTCTCTCCTACCTGTATATCATGGTAGTGCTCTCCTCCGTCTACCTCTCTCCTACCTGTATATCATGGTAGTGCTCTCCTCCGTCTACCTCTCTCCTACCTGTATATCATGGTAGTGCTCTCCGTCTACCTCTCTCCTACCTGTATATCATGGTAGTGCTCTCCGTCTACCTCTCTCCTACCTGTATATCATGGTAGTGCTCTCCTCCGTCTACCTCTCTCCTACCTGTATATCATGGTAGTGCTCTCCGTCTACCTCTCTCTCACCTGTATATCATGGCAGTGCGTTCAGCCTCATAGTCAGTCTGGGAGATTGCACATTCTCTGAGGTACAGCTCCAGTCTGCGTTTCTCCACCAGCCTGTGGGTGGCCTCCAGGATCTGGGTGGCCAGCTCTGACTCACTCCTCTGCTGGGCTCTCCTGGACCCGCTCTTGGCAGTTGTTTCCCAAGCAGAGGACGAAGATTTGGGTTTCTTGCTGATGCCATACATGTCTTCCACCGAGAACTTCCCTCCCTTACCACTGTCACCTCGGTCTCCAGCAAACATGGCTGCTAAAAGTATTTTGACTAAGGTGAAATTGACTGAGCAGATCTGAGCAGATCTTACTTTCTTACTTGCTGCCTACAAGTCCTCTTTCTTCTGCATTTATGTGACCAAAAAGTAGGAAAAAATATGCACACAAAAAACGTTATGCAAACCAGTATCACTGTTACAGATCTACAGGTTTATTTATATTTACATTTACATCATTTAGCAGACGCTCTTATCCAGAGCGACTTATAAATGATGAAGGTAGGATATGGCTGTGATGAAGAGTTCAAAAATCCATCTTGGTCCCACTGATTCAAAACACCTGTTAAACGTCAACGAGTCTTGATAGCGCTTTTCTGATGTCTTAATCCAGAATGCATCTGAGTCAATCCTAAAGTGACAACAACATTCAAACACGGAGACGGACTGAGGAGCATTGCGTCTTTGGCTGAAGATGGACAGAAACAATTAATCCAGAATGCATCTGAGTCACTCCTAAAGTGACAACAACATTCAAACACAGAGACGGACTGAGGAGCATTGCTTCTTTGGCTGAAGATGGACAGAAACAACAATCTACATCTCTCTCTCTCTCTCTTTATGTCCCTCTCAGATGAGGGACAGAGGGGGATTTATGTTGAAGCCCCACCAGTTTACATTTACCCAGATTAGCACGAGGCCTGGATGAAAGAAAAATAAGATAGGAACAGAAGACAGGGAGACCAAACCTATCAATCAGCTGTGTTAACATTATGGGAGTCCACACCATATTGAACCCCTCTATTGATCTTTATCTCACACTCCATGGGGATTACAGCCATGCCAGTAGGAGCCAGCTCAGTGAAGGAGTCTAAAGATCTGCTCTCTGACCTTTTACTGGGGCACTGACAAACTCATACTCTTTCATTAGTAGAAAAAACAATCTATTGATCCTTAAATCTATTCATATATTATCCTCCTCGTCAATAATGGATGTGTTATAACAACTGAGGCTCATGTTCTCCAGCTTCCATTGGCTACTAGAGTGAGAGGGTGGCGTCCAGCCAGCAGCTGGTACAGGCATCTGGCCAGCGGTGAGTGTAATTGGCAGGTGCTGGGCTGGTGTTCTGGCTGAGCCCCAGCACTTAATGAGAGAACATCTCTCCTCAATGGAGAAAAGCCTCTTATGGGCCACCACTCCATCTCTCACCGATTAAGTAGGACAGGACAGGATCATCTGGGTGCATCTGCTATGTAATGCAGTGGGCTCCTCTGTCAGTCCATCTCCCAGAGACGGTTGGGGAAATAGTGAGAGAAAAGAGGAAGAAGATAAAAGAAAGAGCAGATGGTATGAAGTAGAAAGAGGGAGAGAGGCATGCTGCCCTCACGAACATTCAGAGCAACACACATTACTGATGGGACCTAAGAATGATGCCTCAACCAAATGAGTTTCTGAAAAACCAGACTGTTAAGCCTTGTTCACACTGCAGGCCTTAATGCACAAATCAGTTTTGTTTTTCAAATCTATTTTGGACTGCTGACTGTCCAAACAGCAAGTTACAAGTGACCTAATCGGATTTATGTGTGTTCAGACAGCAGCCATTTGCTGACAAGTCCATGCTAGTTGTCATAGTAATGATGGGTGTGTGTGCAATGGTGTAGGCTGATTGGTGGTGGTGCTTGTGCTTCCTATCACTCAGAAGTTATGTACCAAGCTAAGGTGACAACAATGCCTACCAAGGACTTTCCAGTTGCTTTGAATGTTCAAAATCATTGGGTAAGAACACTTTTAATGCCTCAAAGGATAAGATGATTCAACTTTCAAAGCAAGTCCTTTTTGGCTAGCCACAGCAGTCAACTAGCTAGCTAGGTAGCTGTTTAGCTTTCTAGCACATTCCCTAATTTGTTTGTAAACAATTAACAAACTAGTTAGCTACCACATGTTCTTGTCAAACTGTCAACAGAGTAGCTATCAAGCAACAAGATATACCGAATAACAGTCGAAAAACCACTTGAGGGCAAATAAATCAGAGTTGACCGTTCAGACACAAGCCACATGGCCAGGAATCAGATTTGTATCTGACTTGAAATGTGGCTTGAAATATCAAATTCCATGTGCTTTTTGGCTGTTCAGGCTGCAGGAAAAAGAACAGATTTGAATCGGATATGCAAAAAAATAGGATTTGAGTCACTTCAAACTGCCACTCGGGGAGACATTTGTGGATCAATAGTCCTGAGCCCTCATAGAACGCTCAAGTTTTACAGAACAAATGTCCTTAGCAAAACGGCCTGACTTTTACTTAAGATATAGGCTACTATTCTACTATTCTAAACTACAGAAAATATGATTAAGCCTAAAGGAATCTGGAACTCTGTTTGGATACAATGTGAGGTCTGACTGATGACAGCTTTTGAATGCATGAATGAATGAGTGAGCATCAGTACAGAAAAACTTGGTGATTCCCTCAAAGCTCATTGATGTTCCAAAAAACGATTCAGTTGTTTGAGTGGATTTATCATTAGGTCTATTTTTTATCTGTCTGTCTTGTGCAGGGCCATCAGTTAGCCTCGTGGAGGCGGCAGGAGGGACTATTTCAATGCTGTGTTAGTCCTGGTCAATGCTGCAGTGGCGATTATCTGGGATTAAGCTTCTCTAAGTGCGCTTTTGATTGACTCAAATCACACTGGCAGCTGGTTAAGGTCAATCTCTCTCTTCCCGTTGAACATTACAGACCCCAAGGTTCTCTAACAGCTATGCACCTTAGAGCTTAGGAAACCATGGTTACTAATAGCGAGGGAGAGAGCCAGTGTGAATGCATTACTAGGATCTAGGCTCTTCAAACAGAAATAATGGGTTGGCCTTTATTCTCCTTCAGTGCCTCCAGGACTGCAGTTGAGTACATTTCAGGTTATGTTTCATACTCACATTACACGAGTTTGACCTAAAACACATTTTATTCACTGTCTGCCTATACTGACCTGTGCCTCAAGGCACAGAGGAAGAGGTCAGTCTGGACGATTGAGGCATTTTCTTTTGCAAACACAATGAGTGTGCACATGTGAGCGTGCGTCTGTGTGCTTCATCCCCAATTTGTTTCCCTCAAATAAGTGTCTAGGCTAATCCAGTGCAGCAGTGGAGGCTAATAAGGGAAGGACAGCTCATAATAATGGCTGGAATGGAGTCAATGGAATGGTATCAAACACATCAAAGATGTGGTTTCCATCTGGTTGATACCATTCCATTAACTCTATTCCAGCCATTATTATGAGCTGTCCTCCCCTCAGCAGCCTCCACTGCAGTGCTGGTTATTAGTATTAGTATCTGTTACATAACTGTAAAGAGATGTAAGAACCTGGCACATTGACAATCCCACAGATGCCTACAAATACAAACACACACACACACAATAAGTAAAGGAAGCGGATGTGATGTTTTGAGACAGGGTGGACCTGGAAGGGCACAGGACCAGCCAGAGGGCATGGTGACTCCATCTGCAATGCAGCGACAGCACCACCACCATCACATCTGTGGGTAGCCTGAGGCATCCTCACAGCTTAAAGATACGCTGCTGCAGCAGCTGTGAACCATATCGGGTGTTGTTGCCTAAAAATGTATATTTGTGTCATAGTCCTTGGGATGGTAACACCATCAATGTATGCACACCACAAGTCTTTAGAAATGGTAGTATAGAGTAGCATCAACCCTTGTGCAGACCTTCTTCTTTTCTGATTAAAAAAAAAGTAATGTATTCTAATTAAATTCAACAAATGAATGGTCAGAATGAATTACCAGAAAACTAATGGTCACTTCCATCTTCTGCAGTCTGCTGTTCTTTTATAATACTTCCATCTACACAGTACCCCTACTGAAGCTCACTGTTGCAAAGCTTTTCCCCAGTCCCCCATGAATCACACTACATGTTTTAAACATCATCCCAATCAATAGCAAAATCCCTGGAGCAAAATTCAATCTTGCCTTAAGAAATAGTTGTAGCAGAACCAATACCAGAGAGTAGTTCAGTGTTTCACAAATAATCTTACTGAGAATATTTGAGAATTCCCTTCATATCATGTTATCAAAGCATACAATAATACGTCAAGATGGTCTGGCATTAGGCTTGCTCATATATAGATACTGAAAATCGAGAATTTGCTAAATTCATGATTTGACTTTCGTCTAGAACTGGTACTCCCACCTATGGAGTTGTTATTCTCATGTAATCCAACAGGTGGCGATAGTCAGCACAACATAATTTGTTAAACCAGACCAGCCCACCAGCGAAGAAGAACATTCTTTCGTCAACCGTCAAGATGGCTGCTGCGTACATGTCAGCGAACCGGTCCGAAAATGCTTTTAGTACAGCTGATTTGGTACCAGAGTGGGCACAAGAAGAAGTTAGCACTGGGGTGAGGAAATGTAATATAGCACTGTTCACTTTACATAGGTTTGAATGCGTTGCCCAAGCTGAACACAGAGACATTTACATGCCGCTTCAGCTAGCTAGATAGCTAACAATGAGACTGCAGAACTAAGCGCTCGCCATGTTACATGTATCTATCTAGCTAGTTAGCTAGCTAGAGCATCTTACTGCTGATGATGTTGCTGCTAGCCAGCTAGCCATTACTGTTTCTTCTTCATAATGTCCTTGGGATTCTTTTCACCAAAATAAAGCGAAAATGTTGTGCTGATTCTTCATGTCTAATCGCAGACAACCATTATGGCAGTGGAGTTTGATGGAGGGGTTGTGATTGGCGCTGACTCCAGAACAACAACAGGGTAAGTTACTTTGGATCAAGCAGCTGTCTCTTACCGGTTTCCTGACCTAATAGAAATAGCTTGCTGATTAAGTCGGCCTCTATTCCATTTTCGTACTAAAAAAGTATAGCCAGAGCTGCCTAATACTCCCAATCGTTATTTCTTTCCCCATCTGGTTGTAGTGCTTACATTGCCAATCGAGTTACTGACAAGTTGACTCCCATTCACGACCGCATCTTCTGCTGCCGCTCTGGGTCTGCAGCTGACACACAGGCCGTTGCTGATATAGTCACCTATCAGCTGGGCTTTCACAGGTAACACACCCTAGGGGGCTATGGGGGAGGGGGACAATGATCATTCAACATTGACATACCTCTACACAAAGATCAAAAACTCCTCAGCACAGCTCTCTTGATACCACTCCCAGGATAAAATAAGTGCTTTTAGGACTTTCAAAATATGGTCTTGAGTGTCTGATTCAAGTTTTAATGTCACATGCACAAGTACAGTGAAATGCCTTTCTTGAGTGTCTGATTCTATATTTATTCACCATGAAATATCTCTCCCTCTGGGCCTGCTGCAGTATTGAGCTGGATGAGCCTCCACTTGTGCAAACAGCAGCCAACCTCTTCAAGCAGACATGCTACAGATACAGAGAGGAGCTGATGGCTGGCATCATTGTGGCTGGCTGGGACAAAAGAAGGGGTGGACAGGTGAGTTCCCAGCATCTGTATTTAGATCATACACTCAAACCACTTTTCCCCCACTGTCTCTGAGAAATGTGTAGGGTCATTCCACCTCAAAAAGCAAAGAAAGGGTTTCAGAACAATCTGAGATGGTGGCGGGCAGGGCATAAAATTAACACCTGCCAAATGCCGGTAGATTTGGGTATTGGCGGGTAAGAATGTGTGTTTCACCAGCCACGTTGGCGGGTGGTCAATTTGCAGGGCTCTACAGTAAGAGCATTACATTTGTGAAAAAAATAGTCAAGTATGAGCACGTGCGAGTTATGGTTAGAAAAATTCTGCAGTAGCTGTTTTCAAAGTGTTTCTGCTGTTTTGTTTCATAGCTGTTAATTGCACAAAGAAATAGGAATCCTATATCCCACCTCGCACAAAAACATTGCCTGACAGGGGAGCTGTGTGCAATGAGTGAAGTGCTGATAGATTCCTTTTAGAAATCGCTGTGCACAGGCATAAGTTGGTCTAATTTACTCAAAAGTCTACAAAGTAAGACTTTGTCTTCGTGTCTCTTGGCAGTTTAAATTTAGTTCACAAGCTCAGTTGTTTTTCAATGTTAGTCAGATCGCAAATCTCTCACACAAAGACACACTTGACAGGACTCAAGTGGCCTTGTTTCCTTAAAGGGGCAGCTAAACATTTTGTCGCTGATATTTTGATTAAAAGACTCAGGTCACAAAAAATGAAATGAAATTGAGCAATATACCACATGACTTCTTACTAATACATTTTTTGTTTTAGAAACATTACAAAGCATGGTCATCTGTTTGTGTTTTGTTATGTAATTATGGCAAAAAAATATTTTGGCTGGTAAAAAATCTGAGTGGCTGGTAGATTTTTTTAATCCACCTGCCACAGTGGCTGGTGGACCAAAAGGTACATTTTAGGCCCTGGTGGCGGGTGTCATTGGCTTGCTGAAATGACATGGAACGACTCTACAGTGACCCTTCCCTCCTCTTCCCCAGGTGTACACAGTCCCAATGGGAGGTATGATAGTGAGGCAGCCAGTGTCAGTAGGTGGTTCTGGCAGCTCCTACATCTATGGCTTCATGGATTCTAACTACAAGCCTGGGATGACCAAGGAAGAGTGTCTTCACTTCTGTACCCAGGGTGAGTAGGGCCAGAGGTTGACAGTCTAGCACAGTGGTGGGTAATTCCAATCCTGGAGAGCCGCAGTGTGTGCAGGCAATTGTTCGAGCCCTGAACTAATAAAGCTGATTGAAATATACCTAATAGCGTTGTTTGAAATGTAAGACCTTGATAAGTTGATTATTTGAATCTGTTGGGAAAGAACATATGCCTGCACAAGCACAACAGATCCTGTAGCCCACCTCTGATCATGACACTGTCATTAGGCTGTTTCAAATCTCTTCAACTGCTGCTTTTCTAATCTCTCTTCCCACATTGGTCATGACTACTGAACTGAAAAGACTTGATAGTTGGATATGTAATATGTTGGTTGTTGGGTCACATCTAGGTGTTGTTAATGTCCCTCTCTCAATACAGCCCTGGCGCTGGCCATGGAGCGGGACGGTTCTAGTGGAGGAGTGGCCCGTCTGGCAGCCATCACAGAGGAGGGCCTGGAGAGACGGGTTGTTCTGGGAAACCAGCTGCCCAAATTCTCCAATGCCTAGACAAGGAGCAGAGGGAAGTTCCTTTGCTGTGCAGACAACACACCCCCTTTCAAGTCCATCCACATAAGCGCTATACCTAGTCCTGTGCAGTCATAGGACTTTGGAAAGCCATGTGTTTGTGTCTCACATTTATTTTTGTTTTGCAAATTAAAGATTTGTCATGCAATAAAAAATACTGAACCTTAGATACATTTGTGTTCTCATCTCTCAGGCCTGTTTTGCATTATATATTATTTATTGGAAATGGAGTGAAACTGCACCCAAGATGGGCTATAAAGGATAACTGGAAGAAAGATTTTGTGATTTAGAGAAAGAGCTCCCAGCTCACCTAACCACATTTGTCTGGATGTCACTACAGAATGAAACTAGATGTTATTCAGTCCAAGCATGTAATGTTTTGCCATTTAACCTACAATTGGTCAGAAGAACATTGGAGATTAGACAGAGATAAAAGGAAAGGTAGCTATGTCTGCAAGGTGACGTTCAGAGATAATTGGCATAACATTTTCAGAGGTGATCTCACCTTCATTGCAGTGAGTTGGAAGTAGACTAACGAGCAACACCATTTCTAAGATGTATTGTGAGTAATGCAGACAGACACCATGGGGATGACTTTTAGCAAAAACTACCCCGAGAAATGTTGCATAAGCATGCGATACTAACTCGAAACGGAGGTGAAGCAAAGGAGTAGATCTATTATGTTGATCTGCTGTGTATTTTCCTTGCGTGCTGCTAATTTTTTTTATGGCACGCGCTCACGTTTTGCGCGGGACTTTTATATAGTTCGTTGACGTTAAATGCCGGCTAGATTGGAAACCGACTGGCTAACGTTAGCCTAATAAAATACATATTTATTTTTGTGGCGTTCTGGTCTGGTATTGGCTAGGATACCTGACAATAGTTTTATTTCAAAAGTATTATTCATTGATTTAAAGGTCACATTCTACATTAGTATTCGTATTTCAGCTGCTCTTCCCTCCCAGGGTAACAATGTGGCACCTAGCAGACACAGTACAAAATAATGATGCTGGGCATATCACTCAGATAGAACAACCAGAGGCAGAAGATGGTGATCAATTCCTCTCGTTTGCCAAGTGAGTTGCTTATGTTGCAAGAATTCTGGATGTATTATTTTGAAAGATAAGCCATTATTTGAGGTGATATGAAGCTTTCTTTGTGTTGTGTTTTCCACACCCTCAGGAGGTCCAAGGTTGTGCAGCGTCAGTGTTCAGAGATGGTGACTGAGCCTAGCCCTCCCCCACAGTCTAGCTCCTTGTCAAAGAGTAGAGAAGATTTCTGGCACAGGATTCTATGTCAGCCAAGGTGGATGTCCTCTTCACTCTCACCACCAACAATCTCACTATTTTATAAACATATCAATGTTAAGAAATGCTCCAGTCACTCTTACTGATAGAGGTCTGTATGTTGTTCGTTAGTGAAGTGTCTCCTGAGCCCACCACATCCTACAGCCCCTTTCAGATGCAGATGTTATCAAATAAACCTGAAGGACTAGTGAGTAAACCACAGACGAGTAGCCTAAGACTTGGTAAACTTATGTTTCACTGTGGCTGTCATATTTGTTTTTATGGTACAACCTACGGTTGAGGTAAAAAGTTTAAAGATTTGTTTCCATTATGTGCACACGCAGGTTGGCGTGAACATGACAGGATCACCTCCAGCAGGACAGAGAGTTAAAAAGGGGGGAAGGCTGGGTCTAAGGAAGCTACCCTCTCCAGCTGAACTGATGGGCCGGAAGAAGAAGGGGAGGACAGGGAGTGCAGCACAGGGCAGCCAGGTGGTGCAACCCAGGGTGGCAGCAGTGCTGCAGCACATTGGGGACCTCCGCAGGAGACAGAGCTCTATTGACCAGTAAGTGAAAGGCTTCTGATGCAAGATAGTGCAGAGGGGATATTGGAGATGGATGGCCTGAGCCTGTGGCTCGATGGTTTTACTTCTTGGTTTTACTGTGCCCTCAGGGTAGAATGAGGGGAAACAGATTTTAATTGGATGCCATGGGGGAAGAAATGTGGTTATGCATTCAGTGCAGGTGTAAAGGACATCATGCTGCTTGCTTAGCGAGTACCACTTCTTACCGATTCGGCCCATACCTGGCGTGAACTCAGGACCTCTGCCTTGTTAGCACACGTGACCGCCCTCCTGAACCGTCTTACCAGTCAGCGCCACGCAAAAAGCTACTGTAGCTATTCGCTGGCGCAAGTGGGGACACTTCAGGCTGAGGAGTAAGTTTCACACATCCTCATGTGCTACACAGGGATAGAGATTTACAAAGGCAACTCTGAAATGCTGTTGAGTCGTAGTAGAATATCATAGGTGACTGAATAAAACAGAAAAACTCATATTATTTTTACTTTTACCATTGTTGGTGGCCTTTGGAAAATAAGCATTAAATATAGAACCCTAGTTCTTCAAATGAACCAAAACACTATCCTGTCCCAGGTTGAAGCGGGGGAATTGGTGGGGCTCCAAACCCAGGTGTAAGGCAGAAGAGGGCCGTTCCCAGTGGCCAGCAGAGGACAGTAGCATGTCTCAGGCTCAGCTGGAGCCCAGCCTGGCTTTCAGCACTACAGTGGAGAAGCAGGATGAAGCTACAGACTACCTCAGTCCAACCCTCACTCGTCCTTACACCCAGCAGGAGGTATGGACTCACAAATCTCACTGACTGATATTATATTTCAGAGTAACTGGAATTGAGGAAGCAAATGTGGATATCCCTTATTCTACTGTGATGTCTTTGCAGGGGATGTTTGGAGGATTTGAACAAGCATCCCATCTTGCTCCTGGAGGGAATCCGATGATGTCATTTGTCCTGGCAACTGCTGATAGACAAGCCAAGGGGGGTTGGCAAGGCACTTGTCTGTCCCACAATGAATTCTGGGGCATTGGGCACACTCCAGAGGAGTAATTGTATTTTGGTTATATTTCTCCAAAGCACTTGTACAGTTCACATCGTATAAGGGCTCATTGTTTGTGTTGATCAGATTCAGAGTTTGAAGGATATGTTTTGCCATATTACAATCAATTTTTTCAGATTTTATTTTGTCAGTTCATTATATACCAGATAGTATAAAAAAAGTAAATACATCAAACATAACATTGCATTCCAGTGTGACTAGTATGGTCTTGAACTGGGGAGTGTTATATTAAGAAATGTATTAGAGGAAAAAAGGATTTGACTTGGCTGCTCACTCCGCTCCTGTTTTGAAAGACAGAGCCCATCCCTCTCCTCTGAGAAGTTCCCCGAAGGGCTGTTGAGGCGGTCTTTGAGGTAGTGAAGTGTGAGACTGGTGGCATTAGCCTTCAACTGAGTCTATCTCTCAAAGGACCCTTTGACCTTGTTCTGTCAAAGCCAGACAAGCACATAGGCCTGACTAGAAGTGAATGTATTTATGTTTGGCTATCAAGGATGCTGTAAAGTAGGCATTTTCCCTTGAAAGCCAAGCATATACACAGTACCAGTCAAAAGTTTGGACACACCTACTCATTCAAGGGTTTTTATTTATTTTGACTATTTTCTACATTGTAGAATAATAGTGAAGACATCAAACTATGAAATAACACATATGGAATCATGTGTTAAGCAAATAAAAATATATTTGAGATTCTTCAAAGTAGCCACCCTTTGCCTAGATGACAGCTTTGCACACTCTTGGAATTTTCTCAACCAGCTTCATGAGGAATGCTTTTCCAACAGTCTTGAAGGAGTTCCCACATATGCTGAGCACTTGTTGGCTGCTTTTCCTTCATTCTGCGGTCCAACTGTTGACTGTTAAATTCTGTTGAAGTAATATGGCTACAGTTTCACCTGGCTCACCTAAAGCCCATTCTGGTGGGAAGCTGCTATAGACCACCAAGTGCTAACAGTCAGTATCTGGATAACGTGTGAAATGCTTGATAATATATGTGATATCAATAGAGAGGTATACTTTCTGGGTGATTTAAATATTGACTGGCTTTCATCAGGCTGCCCACTCTAGAGAAAGCTTCAAACTGTAACTAGTACCTGCAACCTGGTTCAGGTTATCAATCAACCTACCAGGGTAGTTACAAACAGTACATGAATGAAATCATCAACATGTATTGATCATATCTTTACTAATGCTGCAGAAATTTGTTTAAAAAGCAGTATCCAAATCCATTGGATGTAGTGATCACAATATAGTAGCCATATCTAGGAAAACCAAAGTTCCAAAGGCTGGGCCTAATATTGTGTATAAGAGGTCATGCAAGAAGTTTTGTAGTGATTCCTATGTTGTTGATGTGAAGAATATTTGTTGGTCTGTGGTGTGCGAGCAAACAGGCGCTTGCGCACTTGACATATTTATGCAATTGCTTATCCCAGTTACTAATAAGCATGCACCCATTAAGAAAATGACTGTAAAAACGTTTAAATCACATGGATTGATGAGGAATTGAAAAATGGTATGGTTGAGAGGGATGAGGCAAAAGAGATGGAAAATAGGTCTGGCTGTACAACTGATTGGCAAACGTACTGCAAATTGAGAAATCATGTGACTAAACTGAATAAAAAGAAGAAGAAACTACACTATTAAACAAAGATAAATGACATAAAGAATGATAGTAAAACGCTTTGGAGCACCTTAAATGAAATTTTGGGCAAAAAGGCAAACTCCGCTCCATCATTAATTGAATCTGATGGCTCATTCATCACAAAACCCACTGATATTGCCAATTACTTTATTTATTTTTTCATTGGCAAGATTAGCAAACATAGGCATGACATGGCAGCAACAAACGCTGACACTACACATCCAAGTACAGTGGGGGGGGAAAGTATTTAGTCAGCCACCAATTGTGCAAGTTCTCCCACTTAAAAAGATGAGAGAGGCCTGTAATTTTCATCATAGGTACACGTCAACTATGACAGACAAATTGAGAAAAGAAAATCCAGAAAATCACATTGTAGGATTTTTAATGAATTTATTTGCAAATTATGGTGTAAAATAAGTATTTGGTCACCTACAAACAAGCAAGATTTCTGGCTCTCACAGACCTGTAACTTCTTCTTTAAGAGGCTCCTCTGTCCTCCACTCGTTACCTGTATTAATGGCACCTGTTTGAACTTGTTATCAGTATAAAATACACCTGTCCACAACCTCAAACAGTCACACTCCAAACTCCACTATGGCCAAGACCAAAGAGCTGTCAAAGGACACCAGAAACAAAATTGTAGACCTGCACCAGGCTGGGAAGACTGAATCTGCAATAGGTAAGCAGCTTGGTTTGAAGAAATCAACTGTGGGAGCAATTATTAGGAAATGGAAGACATACAAGACCACTGATAATCTCCCTCGATCTGGGGCGCCACGCAAGATCTCACCCCGTGGGGTCAAAATGATCACAAGAACGGTGAGCAAAAATCCCAGAACCACACGGGGGGACCTAGTGAATGACCTGCAGAGAGCTGGGACCAAAGTAACAAAGCCTACCATCAGTAACACACTACGCCGCCAGGGACTCAAATCGTGCAGTGCCAGACGTGTCCCCCTGCTTAAGCCAGTACATGTCCAGGCCCGTCTGAAGATTGCTAGAGTGCATTTGGATGATCCAGAAGAGGATTGGGAGAATGTCATATGGTCAGATGAAACCAAAATAGAACTTTTTGGTAAAAACTCAACTCGTCGTGTTTGGAGGACAAAGAATGCTGAGTTGCATCCAAAGAACACCATACCTACTGTGAAGCATGGGGGTGGAAACATCATGCTTTGGGGCTGTTTTTCTGCAAAGGGACCAGGACGACTGATCCGTGTAAAGGAAAGAATGAATGGGGCCATGTATCGTGAGATTTTGAGTGAAAACCTCCTTCCATCAGCAAGGGCATTGAAGATGAAACGTGGCTGGGTCTTTCAGCATGACAATGATCCCAAACACACCGCCCGGGCAACGAAGGAGTGGCTTCGTAAGAAGCATTTCAAGGTCCTGGAGTGGCCTAGCCAGTCTACAGATCTCAACCCCATAGAAAATCTTTGGAGGGAGTTGAAAGTCCGTGTTGCCCAGCGACAGCCCCAAAACATCACTGCTCTAGAGGAGATCTGCATGGAGGAATGGGCCAAAATACCAGCAACAGTGTGTGAAAACCTTGTGAAGACTTACAGAAAAACGTTTGACCTGTGTCATTGCCAACAAAGGGTATATATTGAGTAACTTTTGTTATTGACCAAATACCTATTTTCCACCATAATTTGCAAATAAATTCATTAAAAATCCTACAATGTGATTTTCTGGATTTTTTTTCCTCATTTTGTCTGTCATAGTTGACGTGTACCTATGATGAAAATTACAGGCCTCTCTCATCTTTTTAAGTGGGAGAACTTGCACAATTGGTGGCTGACTAAATACTTTTTTCCCCACTGTATATCTGACTAAACTATGAAAGACAAGCATTGTAATTTTGAATTCCATAACGTAAGTGTGGAAGAGGTGAAAAAAAGTATTATTGTCGATCAACAATGACAAGCCACCAGGGTCTGACAACTTGGATGGAAAATTACTGAGGATAATAGCGGACGATATTGCCACTCCTATTTGCCATATCTTTAATTTAAGCCTACTAGAAAGTGTGAGCCCTCAGGCCTGGAGGGAAGGAAATTTATTCCCCTGCCTAAGAATAGTAAAGCCCCCTTAACTGGCTCAAATAGCCGACCAATAAGCCTGTTACCAACCCTTAGTAAACTTTTGGAAAAAATGGTGTTTGACCAGATAAAATGCTATTTTACAGACTTTCAGCACGCTTATAGGGAAGGAAATTCAACAAGCACAGCACTTACACAAACGACTGATGATTGGCTGAGAGAAATTGATGATAAAAATATTGTAGGGGCTGTTTTCTTCAGTGCGGACATTATCGTGTTCTTTAATGGAAGCCTCTCCAATAAAATCCAGATAGAATCAGGAATTCCCCAGGGCAGCTGTCTAGGCCCCTTCCTTTTTTCAATCTTTACTAAGGACATGCCACTGGCTTTGAGTAAAGCCAGTGTGTCTATGTATGCGGATGACTCAACACTATACACGTCAGCTACTACAGCAACTGAAATGACAGCAACACTTAACAAAGAGCTGCAGTTAGTTTCAGAATGGGTGGCAAGGAATAAGTTAGTCCTAAATATTTCAAAAACTAAAAGCATTGTATTTGGGACAAATCATTTACTAAACCCTAAACCTCAACTAAATCTTGTAATGAATAATGTGCAAAATGAGCAAGTTGAGGAGACTAAATTGCTTGGAGTACCCTGGATTGTAAACTGTCATGGTCCAAAAAGTTGATACAACAGTAGCTAGGATGGGGAGAATCTGTCTATAATAAAGCGTTGCTCTGCATTCTTAACAACACTATCAACAAGGCAGGTCCAGCAGGCCCTAGTTTTGTCACACCTGGACCAGGGCCGGCCCTCCCATTAGGCAAGATTAGGCAGCCGCCTATGGTGGCACTTGAATTTGGGGCGGCATTTTGACAATTGGCTGCCGCCCTCCGGCGCCCCTGATCGGGTGCTACACCGCAGACGGCACCCCAGCCACCAGCTCATAGCGTTGCTGCTGTTCCCGCCCTCACCCCATTCCCGCTTCTCCCCAAGTTCACTCCCACTATCCTTGGTAGCTATGGTGATGTGTATGTTTATATGGGATTATCCAATTGTGAAACATTAATAAAAATGAATCTGCCAATTAAATGATTGTTTTGTTTTTTATGTTTGTGTATGAGGAAGACTATTAGTGATTAAGGCAGTAGCCTAACCTAGCCTGTTAATGTTAGCTAGCCACTACTAGTGGATATAATTTTAGCTAAAGGTAAACTATAGAGATTTGAAACAATTTGCTACCATGTCTAAGAGACAAAAACTATCAGGAAGCGAATATTTTAAAAAAATGAATGAGAAAAGA